ACGTATTAAAGGTCAACCGCACTCAACCTTTCTGTTACTTCTGCAATGGGCAGAAAAGTCCCATGAATACAAAAGCTCGGTTTTGAGCAAAATACTCAGCAGGAACTAGAATCTGGCAATTTCTGTTAGACTGCAAATGGGCCTTATACGCGAAATGAAGATTGTCATTCTCTGAACTAAGAAGCCACCACTGGGTTTTCATTTATTTCTTCAACTTTACCCAAAAACGGAGTTCTTGAATTTTGAGTATGCGAAATTTTTGAGATTATTGGGACTAATCCTATTCTTTTTCATCTATTTTCCTAAGGTTGAGGAATGGCTGTATTATGTGTCTGGAGATTCGTTCTGTTTCTATTCTGGTTACCTTGAGTGCATTTATGAGATAGAATAAATAAAAAATTGTAATCATCCGCTATTTTTCCAAATAAAAAACTTTCTAAATGATGATATAGTTGAAAGCTATTTCTCAACCCATGGTCCCCACCTATTTTCTCATTGGGGAGCAGTGCTCTTCGAAAAGCTTACATCGTTCTGGATTCATTTCCATTGAGAGTATGAGAATCCTCCTTGAATTACCAAAACGGATGTTTCGACTTTCTGATGTAAAAATCAAGATCATAGACCTATACAATCAACGACATCTCTGTGTCAGGCCACACGCAGTACAAGCAGTTTCTTCCGAGAACATTTAGTTGCAAATTTATTCACAAATACAGTTACTGGTTAATAAATGACTATTTACAGGCCTATCAATCCATGATCCCAAATGCGAGGGAAAAGCGTTGCGTTTTTCTCACAAATAGAATTCACTTGCAAAGTGCATGGGATGAAGAAAGTGTAGTCGCTTCCGGCTTTGGGAACATTCAAATGAGCCGCACATTTTGCCGATGCTGACCATCCATTGGAAGAAGCGACAAATGGTTTGACTAGCCAGTTGCTGAAAAAAAAATGATTTTGCAGACCATCGGGAAAGTTCGCGAAAAACACACTAAAAAGGAGTAAAACTCACATTTCAAGTGGATTCATTGCGCCGCTAGTAAGCCATTTGGGATTTTGTTGATCATCTTCCATAGTAAGACCGATCCAGCTCCATGTGCTCACTGTCGAATGTTCATTTACGTATTCCTAAAGATTATATTTTTGAAATCACGTCTTGAAAGCAAAAAATACTTACCCATTCTTCGAGCGTTTCCGCTACGAAGAGATTTGATCCCATCTCATAACATTTCGCCAGAGCCTTTTCATACTCCGAAGGTGGATTGTTAAAGAAGTAACAAGAGTCATGGTAAGTAGTCCAACCGGTGGGGCAGATCTAGAATTTTAGCAATTAGTTACTAAAATATAAATTGCTAAAATTATAAAGAACTCACTAGTGAAGAAGTGTTAATAGTGGAGGATAAAACGGTAGAAATAACACAGATGAGGAGACTAGATCTAAAAATTTGCATAAGATAAAGGTCTTAAAAACATCAAAATAAAACACATAACTCACTTGGAGAGCATAATGAAGAAATGTTCAAGACAACAATGACTCCCGCTATTTATAGATAAGGGTATGGATTTCTGTGACTTGATCTATGTTGCTGTGTTGATTTACGTATTTCTTTTGATTTAAAGCATAACTCACGTTCATAACCTTTTTGTGATTTATATTCATAGCTAAGCCGAAGGTTGAAAATGAATGTTATGAAGGAAAAGGTCATGACTACGGAAAATAACTCGTAAAGGTCAAATTGAGAAATTTCTGGATGTGTTCAGATCAGCCTATCGATCACTACGGTCGGATATGATCCCAAGTTCTCAACATTCCATTTGGTCATAAAAATCTCAAGTTTTTCTAAAATCACCAATATTCAAGGATTGCTTATATGTGATTGTAAGGACCTATACATTACTTTTTGGAACGCAATTTTACTTTAAGTACACGATGTCAATGATTCTCCAATTATGAAGTCTTGGTTATTTGGTTTGGGGAAAAGTCTTCAAGCCAAATGTTTTCAATTTACACATGCAGTAACGAACAAGTAAGCTCTCTTTTGAATGTTCCGAAATAAATCAAATCTTTGAAGACAAAATCAAATTGAAATTAGTATCATAGTACATCAATGCGGTCTTTCAAGAATGTCCAGAACAAAATGAATGTCGACCAAATCTGAGAATGGTTTACAACTAGTTTTTAGCCACCTTTCACGGATGTTTCATTGATTGCCTATACGATGATTAGATCTTCTCTGGAAATATAAACCAAGCAAAATCGGTGGAAAAGAGACAGCACATGAGAAATTTTTCATGCATTCTCAGTGATCCCTAAACGCGCACACTTGTCACAGACTTTCAGATTTCAAATGTAGTGATTGCCCCAACCTTCGCCTTCTATGTTTTTGCCATTCTGGGACCTTTCCGTGGCCCGATTCCAGATATAAAGCGCCAAATGTCCGAAACCCTAAGTTTAGACGGAGCTTTACATGGGCGTGGCTTGATGGCACCTTTTGATTCCAGGCCCAATTTCTCTTTTTAAGGCCCACGCTAAAGGACGGAACACGTAGATGCCTCACTCATAGGGGGTGCTTGTAGACCAGGTATTAATCGAGAAGCAAAGATTTTGCATGGACGTTGCTTTTGTACCTCTCACAATTTTCACAAATTCAGGTCCAGTTTTTATAACTTTTTTTTTCAAATAGTCTGCATAGTGTTTTTTTTTTTCGAGAGTCTAACAGCATAATGACATCTAATCGTTTTATTTTGTCAAAAATCATATTACGGTTGCTTTCAGCATGGAGATGCCAGTCGGCGGTACGCTGACCTTCAAAGTATCGGAAGGTTTCATTACGCCCATATCTTGTTTGCTCCAAAGGTCCTTTACTTGGTAGCCTGCTGTGTTGTTCATTCCAACGCGGGAAAGAGCGAACTGGACGGTCTAAAAAGAAGAAAATACTCTCTTTTTTTCAGCAAGACTTAAACTTTAGAGATAAATGAGGATGAAACGAAAAATGTAAAGGGCGCTCACATAGGCAAAATTGTCATGTCTGTTTAGTATGGCAATTGCAAACGATGTCGCATTATTTTTGGTTGGCATGACTGGCTTTATGTAGACACCATTATCTTGGGACTGAAAGAAGTCAAAAATCAGTGCGAATAAATTTCATTGCAATTTTTCTTACATTCAAGACTAGTCGTCCCATGATAGCAAGTGGATCCTGATCTATAGCTATGACGTCACGATTTTGCAAAATGTCCTTGAACTGCGGATCTATGGCTCGTAGATCATTTGACATTATCAGTGGAGCAGACCAAATTGACCTGGAAAGGCTCACTTTATATAAATTACCGTTGACAAACCGAAAAGGGGTGAGGCGGGGAAAGAGGAGGCGGGGCGGGGGAGCTTATAAGATTGTACAAGTAATTTTTCACCTCCAGATAATTGGAAGAAGTCTTAATTATCACAGGAGGTTAATTAGCTTTTGTAAAAAAAAATTCTGAGATAGGAACGCCCCCTTTTTTCATTTTTGAGGTCTAAGACAACTGACTGGAACCTCCGCGGAACATTCGGATGGTTCTCCGGGTCAGCTGCGGAAGTTCCGAAAACGTGCTGCGGAAGTTCCGAGATGAAATGCTGCGGAAGTTCCGAAAAATGCGAGTAACAACAGCAAAAGAAAATACTCAAACAAGATTGAACCTTACTCTGTTGACTGCGAGCCTCACTCA